ACTCCAGTTTGAAAAAGACAGGTGCACCCCTATGTTTATCACAGCACTATTTACAATAGCCAAGAAATGGAAGCAACCTAAATGTCCATCAGTAGATGAATGGATAAAGAAGATGTAGTACATATACACAATGGAATATTACTCAGCCATAAGAAAAAAACAGATCCTACCATTTGCAACAACATGGATGGAGCTGGAGGGTATTATGCTCAGTGAAATAAGCCAGGCGGAGAAAGACAAGTACCAAATGATTTCACTCATATATGGAGTATAAGAACAAAGAAAAAGTGAAGGAGCAAAACAGCAGCAAAATCACAGAACCCAAGAATGGACTAACAGTTACCAAAGGGAAAGGGACTGGGCAGGAGGGATGGGAAGGGAGGGATAAGGGCAGGGAAAAAGAAAGGGGGCATTATGATTAGCATGTATAATGTGTGTGGGGGGCATAGGGAGGAATGTACAACACAGAGAAGACAAGTAGTGAGTCTGCGGCATCTTACTACGCTGATGAACAGTGACTGTAATGGGGTTTGTGGTGGGGGGGACTTGGTGTAGGGGGGAATCTGGTAACCATAATGTTCTTCATGTAACTGTAGATTACATGATAATAAAATGAATTTTTAAAAAAGGAAGAAAATATTGGTAAAAAGGCTCTAAAGGAAATGGAACATTTCACATGTCCATGAAAACTTGTTTTATTATATTTTCCAAAATATATTAAGCCACCTGAAGTTGTTTACTTTAGGTTTGAGCGAAGATATTGAATAAAGCCTGTTAAAAGATCCCACAAAAAAATAGTAATAATAATAACATTAGCACAGGGTGGCACCAATTGCAGGATGCCTCATGATTTGTGATATAACCTGTAATGCATTTTAGAAATAAGAGTGGCATAATGAAAGTGATTCTTGCTAAGTGTGGGATAAATTCCGCTGCCATGGTAATCCTGTTGTGTGAGTAGAAAGACTCTGGATTTAGAGTATATAGATACTGAAAAGTTTGTATCTGAGAAACTGGTTGGACTCAGTGTTGAACTCGATATCTAAGTCAAAGGAGAAATAGCATGTAAACCAGCATGAAAGGGAATCTGGAAGACAGCAACATAATTCATTTATCCATTCAGAAAATACGATGTGCCAGGCACCACAGAACCTAGAATAATAAAGCAGACATGGGGCACTGATGATAGAATAGTTCTAAAGGATTAAGATGTAGGGGTTTTGTGCTGGCTAGCTTCATTTTTCTTTTTAAATGGGTGTATTTAGTTGAATGATCAACCAAGTAAAACTCTACCACAGCCACACAAAGTGATTGTAAAATGCAATGGCTTCATAGAGATAAAGCAAAATACTTTTTTTGGTGGCTAAACTCTCTAAAGTCTTATCTTTCAGTAGAAGGCAGGTTCTTAACTTTTAAAACAATGTGCCTCTCCCACTGAGTACCTTTCATTAGTATTAAAGATTTAGAAATAACTATTTTCACGTTTGGAACAGGTAACTACCTAACCAGCTTAACACTTCCGTGGTGATTATAGGTTGGAGTTTTTAAATAATAACTTAAGAGAAAAAATAGGAATAAATTATCCATTTGTAATATGCACAAAATTACAGTCTGAGTCATAGCTTTTTTGAAATGGAATTTTATTTTGTTGACTTCAATCAGCAGTAGTACTTCATTATACTGAAGAGCCACTCCTTTTCTCTAGTTCTGAAAATAATTTTAAAATGAATAATACTCGATTAAATGTCACATTTAGCAGGAGATTTTACCAATGAGCTTTAAAAAAACCATAGCTAAAGTTGGTAGGTCATAAAAACAAATAGGTCACTCAAGTTTGTGGATTTTTCCTAAGACATTAATTACCTTTATCCCTATGTAACAGTCTGTTAAGTGAGTTGTAGTTTAATTACTTATGGATCTTTTAAAAAATCCACCTGTAGATCTCCAATAGGTTCTTCACAATGGTATAAAGGTCATATCAAAGTGTGGGCAAAGGGTTTGTTTGTATTTATACAGAGGATCAAAGCCTAATTTGGCTACCCAGAAAACGAATTAATATACGATATGAAGAAGAACTTCCAACATCAATGTCCTCTGGAAGAGTCATTCCAGAAGATGATCATCAAAAACTTCAACAAAGATCCTGGCGCTGTTGCTGTTATAGCTGCATTCATCATTCATCCCACCAGTTCCTGGACTTGCCATTGGAATGAAGAAGGAGATATCTAAGCTGGCCTGTGCATACAGTAAAACAACAAATTTGACTGGATCTATACTGTCGGAACTCAACCAAGAATTGGAAGAAGTGCAAGTTGCAGTGCTCCAAAATCATG